CTGCCAGCCCCGTCCACCCACTCGAGCCGCCCGATTGGGGGCTCCGCCAGCCAATGAGGAGCGAGGCGAGTCGATAGAAATACCCAATAGCACACTCCAGCTGCGTGACGTTGGGGCCGGGGCGGGATTTCCGGCGCGAGCTCGGGCCTGGTGCTGTGGCCTCGCTGAGGCGGCGGGGGGGAGGAGTTTGTCCGAGGGGGGAGGGGTTGCGGCGGCCGCCCGGGCGCGCACACCGCCCCGACCTGCCGCCGCCATGCCCGGCATCGACAAGCTGCCCATCGAAGAGACGCTGGAGGACAGCCCCCAGGTGAGGGGCGAGCGCGGGGTCGGGCCCGGGCGGGGCTGTGCAGCGCAGTGCGGCCCGGCCCGCAGGTGCTCTGAGGGGCGGCCGAGCAGGCCCTGCTGCTGAGTAGAAGGGAAGCGGGGGGTGCCCAGCGCCACCTGCACCGGGGCCGCGTGTTGCCGCCGCCACTGCTCCCCGGGCGGGGCCGGGGGGGTCTTCGCCTGGCGTCGGCCCCCTCCCCGCAATTGACCTGGGGGGAAGGCGGATTTCGTGCTTGCGAAGCACGTGTCAGGGCAGCAACCCGACTGGCCGGCCTGGCGCTGAGGGCGGCGCCCGGGCACACCCATTGCTTCACTTTTTTTCTCTGGGTGGCCGCGTTTGCCATTAGCACTACCCTTTGCCATGGGAGTTGGCTCAGGCCTGCCTCCCCTCTGCAGCCCACTTGGCTTTTGGGCAAGTTCCGCCTTGTCCCTTTTTTTTTAGTAGCCGGTCTCCAGCCACTGATTTTATTCTGACCTTGCTGTCATACAGCAAATGTCCCAAATTCTTGGTAGCCCAGGCACGTGGGTGTTAGTTTGGGGGTGGTTTTTTGGTCTCTGTGTTCCCTGTAGGAGGATATGGAGGTTCTCAGTACTCAGGAAGCTCGAACATTGCCATCCAGATCCTGCCACTATTAAAATTCTTACCTAAAAAGCTGGCAAACAAGACTTTTTTTTTTTAAGTAATTTCTTTAGGATTTTTCTTCTCCTATCTGTAAGCTACTGACATCAGCATATCACTATATTGTGCTGATAACATAGCATAGTGGAGCGATAACATAGTCTGACAGAGTCGCTATGTTATTTGGGAACAAAAGCAGAGAGAAGTGTGGACCACGGAGCAGAAGTTTTCAAAGGAACTACCATTGCTAGAGCTTCACTTAAACAGCACTTCAGTACACTGCTGCTCATGGGGGAGCTAGAAAGAGAAATGAAGACTGAGGCATGCTGAGAACATTTCATTTTAATGTGCGCTGCTTAGGATTAGACCCTAGTCACACTTGAAATACAGATCTGTAAATACTCTGCAGCCTAAGGTGACTAGCGTTGATCTCTTCTTCTCTTTGCTGCCTTTATGCTTTCTTATTATGTATTGTGTATATTCTTATTCTACTCAACAGCAGAATATTTTCCCCAAGTATTGAGTTGAACAAATGTCCTATGACTGTTCTCCAGACAGGGAACTAAAGCTGTGGCTTCATTTTAATGTGAAGTCCTCAGTGGTACCAGTCCTTACTTGACATGCAGGAGACCCAGGTTCAATTCCCAGGTGCTTATACACCTACAGCCATGGAGGCACCATATGTCCAGCCTTTGGAGTGTGGCCTGAAGGGGAGACCGAAGGTCTGGGCAGTCTCCACTTCCAAACTCCTATTTGGGCATGTGCCAAAAGTCTTGTTGACCTGTTGGTTGCCAAACCATTTTAATACACGTAAATAGTCCCAAACTGTACCCATATGCAGAAGGCAAGGCAAAGTGGCATCTTAGAGACTGCCTTCTGCTCGACTTCATGCTAGCATCACTCTAACGTGTGTGTATGGATAGGGTAGAAAATGCCATCTTCCTAGTAAGTTTATTCCATGCATTCTCTGGTGCTCTGTTCTGATGCTGCCCACCTCTAAAAACATATAGTTTTGATTCTGTTATTTCAGCATTAAACATACAATACCATGAAGCAGAATTTAAGTTTTTATTTCCCCCCAGTATTATTACTACTACTACTACTACTACTACTCAGTTATGTCAAGGATGGCATTCTTCATTTAGCAGTGAGCAATCTCTGAAGATTTACAACCTAACATACACATACTAATGTACATAACTTTTTGATGGAAAATCCATAGTCTATTACTGCTCTCATTTTAAAGCATAGGATCATGGTATGGTAAAGATTCAATCATTGATGGAAAATATTTTGTTCTCTTAGAGTGGGGGTGGGGGGGAATTCCTTCCTGATATAGGACATCAAATATCAGCCTGAAGGGTGATATTTGATGTTCTAAATTTCACAGTCTTTCCTTTTATTCAGTTGCAGAATTAGTCATCTCTCAACATGATAGAAAACCCCCCGTTAACTTCCATTCAAGATGGGATTATATCCATCCACTCATTGATATTATGGAGAATATCAAAACCACCATGAGATTGTTAGTTTAGTACAACGGTATGCTAAATGTTACGGTTGTTCAGACATGTTACATTAGCTCTTTATTCAGTGGTCTTCATAAATTTACGGTCTGCCTTTGAAAACTGTTGGACTACAGAATAACAAAAAGACTGGGAATAAAGGCCCTGTTCAATCAAATACCTTAATCTAGTAAGATTTTTCATTTTCAAGAGGAAAAAAAAAGGAGTAGTTCCCACCTCCACCCAAAGCCAGATGCAGTAGTCTCTTACATTTTAAGGCTAAAACATTACAGTCATTAGTACTGCATTCTGAACACAGTTTTATTCAGTAGTTATTATTTCTTTATAATCTCATTTTGTTTTGTCTATGATTTGAAAGGAAGTCAGATTCACAATACATTTAAGTTTTTACCTCCTTTGCTTTCATAATAACAGAGTCATAATGAGCAAAGTGCAATCAAGTCGTAATATTTTCTGTTCAGCCTTATAACTATACATTCTAGCTGTTATTTGTAGACTGAAACATCTTACAACTAGATTCATTTTTCAAGCTGTACATGAGTGCTACAATAGCTTTTTCCTTACTACTTGCTCACATTTGAGTATGCTGTCTTGTTAAAGGTTGTGTATTGGGTATTAGCATGAAACATGAATACACAGTTCCTTTACACCTGAGGAGGAGAACAACATAGTAGGAATTCTGAAAGCACAGGCATTTGTCAGTGAGTATCTGACAAATCTGTAATTCAGGACTCCCAAGTGAGGTCCTGGCAGATGTTAAAATAATGGTGCCTTTGATGTCTGAGGAATCTTTTGTGCTATCCCACATGTGCCTGGCAGGATACATAATGTTTAGGACAGGGCATAAAATTTCTCAGACCCCAGTCATGTGACTGACTGTCCCTTGCCCATTCCTAGGGTTCAGGTAGAGGGTGGTTTTGTCCTGGACCCCAGGGCTGCATGTGTGCAATTCAGATGCTCAGCTGAGCATTGAGATTGGGCACAGAGCAGACCCCACTCTAAAAAGCATGTGTGGAGCCCAGTTTTTAAAAGCCAGCATGCTGGTTTTCTGGACTCCAAGTCTTTAAACATCACTTGCAGCCCAGTTGCATGCACAGTTTTTAGACCCATGTAGACATTGACATAGGCAGCCCCTGGTCCCAGTTGGAGACCTGGGGCTGCCCCTAGTTCCATCCTGGGGATTGGGCAGGGGACCTGGGTTGCCTGGCATGATCCTGACACTCAGCTGGGAGTGAGGATCGGCAAATGGCAGCTCCAAGTCAGACATGGCTCACATTCAGTTTAAAGTGGGATACAAGCCATCCACAAAAGGTGTAGCACTAAAAAGAAGGAAGTGTCAAATCATCTCTCGGTTTGCCCTCTACAGCTGAATTTTAAGTGAAGGCTATTTAGATAAATATTCAATATTCATACAAGGCAACTTTTAATGTTGCAAGTAGAACATCTTTATGGATGGTTTGCCATTTTGTCATATCATGAATTAGCTGAACTTATGGCATGCTGTAGTGATAGATGATTAACACAATAGTCATGCAACAAATGTCATGTACCTAAATGCATAAGGTACATTTGAATGACCAGTTCACTGACAAAACTACTTTGTTTTTGACCTAGTATGCTGTAAAATTATTTTCCATTACAAATGATAGATAGAAAAACAGCTAGAAAGGTAGGGTAGTACAAATGAGAGCAACTCCTCTTATCTTTGAATAAACAAAAGTTCAAAGATTAGAAGTTTAGAGTGAGGGTAAGGGTAGATGGGTACATTTGCAACAGTTTTCTTGTTTTCCTTCCTTCTTTACACCCATGCCATCCCCTTATTAAAATATAGATTTTTTTCTAGAATGGTTTTTGGGAAGAAAACCTAAAAAAAAACCCTGTTTTGAGTGCATGATTATAACAAGGCAGGGTCAGATTTCATGTTGTATTTAAACCTGCTTGCTGTAGGAAAGCCACTTAATCTCATACAATAAATGTGCTTGGCAGATAGGAAAACAATTAAACGTATTTGGTATGTAGAAAAAGATTGGAAGGGAACAAAACATTCACCTTGATATTGTAGGTGCATAAGCAGTGTTTGATGATGCTTGTATTAGTTGAAACGGAGAAAGTTTCCTCAACGCTGGTCCGTTTGACCTATTTTGAGAGAGCTTGTTTTTAGGATGCTACCCCAAAATGCTCATGCATTCCATTTGGTAAATGAACAAAATAGATTTAAAGGGAAGTTATTTTAGTAACTGTTTTTGAAGTCTCTGTTCAGTGCATTTTAAGCCGACTGCTTTAGAGCTGCAGATAAAGGGTTAACCCTGAAATCCAAACATGCAGTAACTTGAGGTAGATAAATGGCTGATAGTGTTTGCTATTAAGTCATTAGGATGCTGGTGGGACTCCCTGTTAGAATGGAGATTGTTAGTATTTGTTCTGTAATGGCAGGAAACATAAGTAAGGCATAAGCTTCCATGTTCAAGTTGTGTTGGTATAAATCAGACACCTTACTGTTAAGGTAATAAGGCTCATTCTACTATGAAGTGGGATTATGAAGCCATTAATCCAGCTTTATTTGGCTAAAAATAAGTGTCCATCATCTCACTTGTCTTTTTTCTCTCTAAAGCTTTGTTTTCAGTGGAAGTTAGATAAATACTCAACATTTTATATCAGTTGTTGATCACCAGCAAATCATGGTCTCAGATTTTTGTCAGGTTTGCAAAATGGATATCCTTGTAACAGGTCACAATTTTCAAATAGTTGTAGCAAATTTCATGACCAACTCTGATCTAAGTGCACGCAGCATGTTTTTATCTGCAGTTGTACATGCTGTATTTGTAAAGTTAGGCTTGCTTTTTACATTTAACATTTCAGAATGTGACTGTTGGATTTTTGGGCTCTTATGTATTATAGCAGCAACTAATGCAAGACAAAATAGCCATTGTAAATTTGAGATTTGATAGCGTAAATGCTACAACAGGAGTAAAGAGGGTAGGGGCAAGTCTTTTACTGAAGAGAAGTAGAACCCAGATTGAGAAACAGATGCCAAGAACCAATCTGCCCCTAACATCTATATGTATGCGCAAAGAAGGGTCAAATAGCCTAAAAATCTACTTGTTAATTTTTAATAGTATATTTTTTGGGGACACTTAACTGACTCTAACACTTTGTTTTTCTGTATATTTGCAAAGCAGCTAGGCCATTATTGCATTATTTCAGCAACTTAGAATACGTTAAGATTTTGCTATACAGTTATTTTGAACTGGTTTTTAAAATTGCAGCAATGCTTGATAGATATTCAGTTAAAGTATGGATATAGCCATATGGAATTTTAAAGTGCTGGACCTTCCAGATACAGTTTTCACCTCAGGTTCCTTTCTGGTGATCCAGTCATTGGGTGGCTCTTGGGATATAGTCCTCCAGTTAAGCTTTGTAGTTTTACTTTCAGCATACAGAAAGTGAGTTCACAGTTTTTCATTGCTCCTTTTCAGAACATGTGGTGTTGAAGTCTCTCACTATCTAGCAAGAGTGGAAGCCTGTTCCCACTTCACAGTAGTATTGTTCAAGTTTAGTAGGATTTAGCACTACTGTCTCTGTAACAGGAAGGGCATCCTAGGGTCACCATGCTCTCCCCTAGTGCGGTGCCCCTTACCATGGCCAGTTTGTCTATAAAGCACCCTTCTTTCTCACCCACCACGTCTTTGATCTCAAGTGTTTATGATAGGGAGGCTGCCTCTTCATCTCCCTGGACACGGTTTTCTTCCTGTACCCATTAGTGAAGCAGGGCTAATGTATTCCTGCGCACCCCAGCTTATAAGGGCTATGCATGGCTCCAGCCACCCTTGTACCATACCTCAAGCCTCACTGATGTACCAGATGTGCTTCAGTCTTATACTCTCTTTGGCGCTTGGGCTCTCTGCAGCCCCTGTCTCACAACCACTGCCCCCTTTGCCTGGGATTTGGGTTCTCACTCTGCCATGGGTCCCCTTATGAGGCCTCCTCCAACCCCTATTAGCCTTACCCAAACCTCCAGTCATAAACAGTAAACACAAAACTCAAGCCCCTAGGCTATAACATAAATTTCTGCCAATCAGCTACAACATCACTCAAACCACCCCTAAGGGTGCTCTGTCCTTCACCCATACCAACTGCTCATGCATTCTTACCTCACCTGCTCCAGCCAAGTTCCTACCCCTTTGGTTACTAGCAGGGAACTACCTTCTTGCCTCTAGCCTGTGATTTATATAGGAGCCAGCCCCGCCCCTTCTGGCCAGCTGACCAGGCAGGTGTGGGTCCTTAGCTCCCTTTGGTTGCCCCGGCAGCCTACATCTGGGTGGTTATCCCGGCTCTCCAAGTAGCAGGCACCTTAGTGCTCTGCTGCAGTCTCCAAACAGTTCAATATAAGGAAAGCTAAATCTTTTGACTTTCTAGGTTTTGGTCTGGAGATTCTTTATTAAGCAGCAGTTTGTTGTGCTTTATTGAGCAACAGTTTGTGATCTGTCTCCCCAGATCACTTTCTATCTAAAATTTCACTTTTGTTGTAGGGTTTTTTTTCCAACCTGCATCATGAACTGTTTGTCTTCTATAGGGAGGTGGGGTTTTGGCTTTTTAAAACCCTCTCTGTCATCCTGAGTCTACAACTCTTTTAGCTATAACTTCTAGAGAGCCTGTCCAAGACTGGGCTGAGACCTGTCCTTATATTTGGGACCCTCACCTGATCTCTGGACTTAGTCCTATCACCTGGGAGGCAGGGTAGCCAGACACAAGTGAGGCTGAGCATACCTCACTCTTTGATACACATATCAAGTAAGAAACTTGCAGATATATTTTTTAATTATACCAACATTTTAGTAAGGTTAGATGAAACTATAAACTTTCGGTTGGAAATGTATTCAGTTAAAAAAAGACCTTTTTTTTTTTAATTGAAGCATTTCCTGTCTCTCTTTACAAATGAACATTGTCTTATTTGGTTTTACTAAACAATTCAAGAAACACATCCTGTTCAACTTTAAATACAAGGACACTTATTCACTTCTGAATCTGGTTTTAAAAACAAACCCACAAATGAACATGTCATCCTTTCTGTTTTTACAGACACGTTCCTTGCTTGGTGTATTTGAAGAAGATGCTGCAGCAATTTCAAGTTATGTCAACCAGTTATATCGAGCCATGCACCGAATTTATGATGCACAGGTAAAGTTGCATGTGTTCTTGAATATATTTGGAAAGCTTATAAAATAGATTTAATATTGTTTAACCACTTCGCTAAATACAGTAAATTATATTTTTAAACTTTAAAATTTTTAATTTGAGTGAAATGGATTAAGGAATAAAATTACTGTTTTCCTTTATGTTAAATAGAGATGCAGAGTGACATTCTGTATGTGCATGCTGTTTCTTAATAGAATTTTTCATGGCAATTAAATGGGCTTTTTGCTTGTTAAAACATGTGCCTCAAAACTCAGCACGTCCTGATCTCTTGTCATAATGGTTTTAGTAGTAACTCCCTTGATGGGCGGACCTCACTGTAGTTTTGGGAATTACAGGGATTTTTGGCTTAGGTAAAAGAAGCATTGCTGCAGAGCAAATGGGGAGGTCAAGGGGAAGGAAGAGTAAATGAGGTTCAGAGAGAGAGTATAGCAGCCAGCTTGACCATAAAGTTATTTATTGCCAGGTATATGAAGTTATGATGATAGCAGTAGTAATAGCCATACAAGAGAGACAAATAAAATAGTTACAGTATTACGTGGTTTCAGTTAGGTATTTGGGGAGGTCTAGCTCAAGTTTGATCAGCAAAAGTCAGGCTTAGAAAGGTGTGCCTGGAGTAAGAGAAAACAAAAGTCAGGTTTAGAAAGCTGTAATAAGAGAATTCTCTTACCTGGAGTAAGACAATAAAAGTCAGGTTCCTGGAGTCAGAGAGAGAAAGAGAGAGGGAGAGTTTGGGTCTCACCGCTCAGAGAACCTTGAGCCAGTTGAGGTTCCCAGGTGTTTGTTGGAGCGTGCAGACAGGCAAAGTACTGAGCACAATCAATGGAGGGATTCCAGGTAGAAAAGGAGTGGAACTGGTGCAGCTTTTGGATCCAAGCACCAGGACAGTACTTTTTCAAGTACATTGGGAGCAAGAAGAGGGAACCAGGCAATGTAGGACCCCTGCAAGATGCAAATGGTAATCTTGTGGTTATGCAAGACAAGAAAGCTGATATTTTTAACAGCCTCTTTTTTCTTGAACAGGGACCAGGACATCCCACCTACCAGAGGTTGGGACAATCCCAGGGATAGCTCTGTCAGGCATTCAGTCAGCGCAGATGTAGTTAGGAATCTTCTGGAAGGGCTAGACATTTTTAAATTTGCAGGTCCAGAAGCCCTCCACCCAAAGGTGTTGAGGGAGCTGGCAGGGGCCGTTGGCCCAACTATATGAGCATTCGTGGTCATCTGGCCAGGTGCCAGGGGATTGGAAACTGGCTAATGTGGTCCCAATTTTCAAGAAAGGGAGGAAGGAGGACCCAAGTAACTATAGGCCTGTAAGCCTCACCTCGGTGCTTGGGAAGATCTTGGAGAGAATCATCAAGGAGCACATCTGTGGGGGGCCAGCATGGGAGATCATGTTCAGGGACAGTCAGCGTGGGTTCATCAAAGGCAGGTCCTGCCTGACCAACCTGATTGCCTTTTATGACCAGGTAACTAAATCCTTGGATGATGGTGTTGCCGTGGACATAGTGTTTTTAGACTTTAAGAAGGCCTTTGACACTGTCTGTCATCCCATCCTCATCAGTAAATTAAGCGACTGGCATTGATGCCTACACAGTTGGATAGGTAAAAAATTGGCTGATGGGGCACACCCAGAGAGTAGTGGTGGATGGGTTGTACTCAATCTGGCAAGATGTGAGCAGTGGGGTACCCGAGAGCTCGGTCCTCGGGCCCGCACTGTTTAACATCTTCATCAGCAACTTGGATGAGGGGATGGAAAGCATGCTGTCCAAGTTTGTTGATGACACTAAGATATGGGGCAAGGTGGACATACTTGAAGGGAGAGAGGCTGCAAATAGATTTAGACAGACTACAAACATGGGCAGATAAGAATAGGATGGGGTTCAACATAGATAAATGCAGGGTGTTGCACCTTGGGAGAAGGAATCCACAGCATACATACAGGCTGGAGAATTCTCCTCTTGAAAGCACAGAGGCAGAACGGGATCTTGGAGTCATTATTGACTCCAAGATGAACATAAGCCGCCAATGCCAGACCGCAGCCAGCAAGGCCAGCCTTACGTTGTCATGCATCCAAAGATGCATCTCAGACCAGTCCAGAGAGGTGATACTCCCCCTCTATGCGACTTTGGTCAGGCCACAATTGGAGTACTGTGTCCAGTACTGGGTGCCACACTTTAAAAAGGATGTGGCCAGCCTGGAGAGGGTTCAGAGGAGGGCCATTCTCTTGGTGAGAGGGCAGCAGGACAGGCCCTATGAGGAGAGACTGAGGGACCTGAACCTGTTCAGCCTCAGCAAGAGGAGGCTGAGGGGGGACCTGGTGACTGCCTACAAACTCATCAGGGGAGATCAACAGCAAATAGGTAGAGCCCTTTTCTCCCTAGCACCACCTGGGGTGGTGAGGAACAATGGTAATAAGCTGATAGAGAACAGGTTTAGATTAGAGATCAGAAGGCAATATTTTATAGTTAGGGTGGCCAAAATCTGGAACCAACTTCCTTGGGGAAATTCAAGAGGAGGTTGGATGATCACCTGTCTGGGGTCTTGTGAACCCAGCATTTATTCCTGCCTGTGGCAGGGGATCAGGCTAGATGATCTGTTCAGGTCCCTCCTGACCCTAGTTACTATGAAACTATGACAGAAACTTTATCTTGGATTGGGGTTTTTGTAGAGAACTAACAGTGGCTCAAGGGAGAACACCAGGTTTGTTTATGGGTAAACAATGGTTCATATGCTGGGTAATAGGAACTGATCACTCCTGGCTGTGGGTGTGGGAGCTCACAATACAGACAGGCAGATTCAGTGTTTTGGGTACCATCAAGGAGTCATTACTAGAATTGGTCTGATGTATGCTGAGCTGGGTGTGTGCAGATGTGGGCTGATTAGCATTTGGAGCAGAGATACCCCATCATGCAGAATTCAGTGCGGTCCTTATCTTGGAATCTCTGTTCTCCATTCTGGATGCTAGTGAAGGTGCTTTCCTGTCCCATCTCCCATGAAAATGAGTTGTTGTCCAGTTCCATCTCCAATATACATGAGACCAGGGGAGTTGCTTCACCCCTGTCACCCTTGTCTGGAGGGATTTAGGTGCATCTCCCATTGCATTTTCATTGTCTTTTGTAAGTCCTTCCTTTAATCAGTTCTTGTTGGGGGCAGGGGCGAGTTCTTTGGGAGTCAGACAGGCTGTGTACTGTTCCTCAAGAACACAGAGCTGCCAGGTAACACATTTTATCATGCTTTTAGTTGTCTAGATCATTTGCTGCAGTGATTTAATTATATAAAAAGAGTTGATTGGGATATACTATAAAAATGGGTTACTAGATCAAGCGTTTTGTGTTCAGATGATTGGACTTTGATGTTGGAAGTAGCAGCTAGTGATTTTTTTTAATGACCAATTGAGATTGTAGTTGTAATGTAAAGTTATAAATGCCCTTCACTGTTGTAGTATTTACTGTCTCTTGCTATCATTATTGCTTGTGTTTTGCATTTGCTTCCTTTTTTTTCCATTTTGACTGTGGTGTGGTGGATGACTATTTCTTCTTGTGACCAAACTATATATCATCTGCATGTTCTTATGGTACTTCATTTTATTGCCTTCTTTGTTTTGCTTTTTATTTCTGCACCCTTGATGCTCAAGTATATTATAAAGGATGCAGGTATTTCCTATTATGAAACTGCTTGCATAGATCATTGCTTAGATCCCATCTGTAAAACTTCTGATAAAATGTGTAAGCAGACAGGTTAAGCTTACTATGCTAACTGACCACCTAGACAGGCTCCAAACACTGTGGGAGGGGAGAGGGCTACAAGGCAAGAAGGCATGGGGTTGATTTCATATCTAGAAGTGCAGAAAAGCTTCCAGGGCCAGACTAGACTGTTCTGTGGAGAGGTTTATAGAGAAGATGCTTGGTGGTTTGGGCTTTAAGGCAATTTTAAGGTTGGCCCTAAATATCTATGTAGATATAGCTTTAGTGGCACAGTTTGTTCTAAATTCACCCTTCGTGTGTGATACTGTTGATACTTGGAAACCATGATTGAACTAAAAACCATGACTAGCTTGAACTAAAACAGCTGCATCATAATAACTGTACAGAATACTGTTTTCTGCATGGAGACTTTACTGCAAACCCATTACTGAGGGTCTAGTAGCTCCACATAGTACATTGTAGGTGCTGTTGGTGTGAAATCCAGAAATACAGGCCTTCCACAACTCATGTAAATGTCAATACTAATTGTGGATGCTCACATCCTTTCAAAATCTGGCTGGGTGTATTTTGAGAGTGCTCATTTAACCATATTCAAATTTCGTCCCTCATTGTCTACAACTTCTGCACATTGATATGAAAGCTAAATTAGGAAGTAATCAATTTTCCTTCTTTTTAACCAGAATGAATTAAGTGCAGCAACTCATCTGACTTCAAAACTTCTGAAGGAATATGAGAAGCAGGTATGGTATAAATTTGTGTCCATTTCTAGTAGTTTAGAGAATGGACTTTTGTAAGTTTTTCTTCTCCCAGAGCACAGTGCAAAATTGATCTAGGTAAAATCTTATCAAGATAAAATGTGTATTGGTAGTAGCTGACTGCTATTTAATTGTATTCCATGTAGAAGGTACCCCCATTTTTGGCAGATGTAAATTAGTCTTGCTGTGATTTTGCTTCCAAAAGTAAAATCTTTAGACTATTCAGCTCCATCACCCTCAGTAGTATAGTTCTTTGGCTAAGTGAATGCTTGTCCTCTGGAGAATTTTAAAGTGACAGCAGCCTAAACTAATGATCTATTGTAAGGTGGCAGCTTTAATTTTAGTTGCCAGGTAAGAGACGAGATGGTGTGGTCTGAAGTAGGGATGAAAAAGGATTAAATGTTTAAGCAACAATTACATTTATACTGTTTACCAATTAGTGACCTTTGGCAGGAACGGAGCCAGCCCCTTATGTCTTCACCATGTGCCCAATGCTGCATGGGCCCCAGGTTGCTGGCAGGGAGCCTCAGGGGGGGCACAGCAGGCTTGGCTGAGCCACTAGGGGGTGCTGCCAACTGTGGAGCCACGGCTTCCCCTTGCCCCCAGGGGTTGGGGCTGCAGATCTCTCCTGTACATGGATCCTGCTGCCATGGGGAGAGAGGAAGATGCCAGGCCCCTGCACAGGGGTGAGGCAGGCCTTCCTTCTGCAGCAGCAAAACTCCTGGCCCAGTGTCAGGTCTGCCCGGCCCCCCAGATCCCTGGTTTTTGTTCCAGTTCTTTTTCTTGCATAGTATGGATCAAGGCTGTACAACTTTGGAGCAGATGAGGGCCACTTACCACAGAGTTCCCCTGTTGTGCCACATAGCAGGGACCCCAGGCCCTGCAAAGCCATGGGCTCCCTGAGCCCCATAGGGTATGCTACCCTGTATCTAGGGTGGGGACAGGAAACAGAAGCCAGAGGAGAAAGGGGAACCCAGAGAGTCAGTGCATGGAGGGAGTGGCACAGTAGCCTGCAGCGTTTCAGTTGGACAGCCCTGGTATAGATTATTGTAACAAAGCTGTGATTAGTTTACAACAGGAAATATGTATATGTAAGAGTGTATTTGTGTGCACAGGGTTAATTTAAATTAGCTTGATTTTTTTTTTTTTATAAAAAGAGTTGAAGTTTAAATTTAAATTCAGCATTAAAGTCAATAATTGTGCATATTGAAATGGGTATAATTTATGTCTTTTTGGAATTTTTAAAAATACTGGTATTAAAAGCAAAGTCCATATTACAGGAAACAGTGAAAATAAAAATTTAAAGAGCTCTACATATTCTTACTTTGTTATATTTAAAATAATTTTGTCTGAAAAAAATCAAAATGGGCTTAAATAGGTTCAACTTAAAAGGATCAGTTACTTTTGTTCTCTCATAAATAAGAAGCAGATACCTACCCGAGCAGTTTTTATTACTGCATAATTTTATTAGAGCCCCATATCATAAGATTGTATTTAAAAGTATCCATTTTTAAAAAAATTGCATTTAAGACTTGTTAAATGTTTCCAGTTTTTGTAAACATTTTGGTAGTTCTTTTCAAACTTTACTCCAAAAAGACAAGACTAGAAATTTACTTTCATAAAAGACTCTTATACAATTGCCTGATTCTTATATAATTGCCTGATAAGATCCACAGCTTTAAGGTAAATATCTAATGTGAGGCTTGTGATAAAATTGAGACTTGGCAGAAAAAGAATAAAATCTTCATTTTCTCAGGTCCAACATGCACCTTTTCTGAACCCTAGAACAGATTTGAAAGATAGATTTAATGTTTAAAAAAACACGGTAAACTTTTCTGTAGTTTTCATAAATATTCATGTTCATATAAAAGAAATATATTAGTAAAATGACACATGTAGTGGTACTAAATCTGCACTGGTATCTTAAGTTCCCAATGTTTTAGTTTTCATACATAGCCTACATATATTCTGTTGTTAACACTGCTGTATGTATGACAGAAGAAAGCTGTAACCAACAGATTTTCTTTTTTATTTTTATAGCGTTTTCCATTAGGGGGTGATGATGAAGTTATGAGCTCTACCCTACAACAGTTTGCAAAAGTGATAGATGAGGCAAGTGTTTTTGCATTTAGCTTATCTTTTTCCATCTACAGCGGGGGCGGGCAATTATTTCAGGCGGAGGGCCACTTACTGAGTTTTGGCAAGCCATTGAGGGCCACATGCTGGGCAGCCAGGGGCAGATAAATATTAATTTTCTAAATTTGGGGGGGCCCCGCGGGCCGGATAAAATGGCCTGGCAGGCCGCATCCAACTCACGGGCCGCATTTTGCCCTGATCTCCAGACTCTGAAATTAACTATCATTTGCTTCCTCTAGCTTAAGCATTCAGAAATCTCTTTCATTTATCAATACTAGTAGTAGTACAACAGTCAGTAATAGTACTGCTACTGCTACTTCTATTATTATTACTACTTTAATTACCATGTATTCTTGCATATAACATACCGTAAATATATCACACGCCTCATTTTTTGGAAGGCCCCAAGCAGGAAAAAGAATCTTACCTTGGAATATGGGTAAGAAGTCTCTAGGGCTGGAGGCTATGCATAGGGGCTCAATCTGGCACTCTGCACTGGGGATACATGCCAAGTCCAACCCTGTGACACCCAATGCAGTGCAGTGGGGAGGGAGGTGACAGCATGAATTGCTGTTGTTCCCAGAGCTGTGGCAATTAATGCTGACATCTCTCTGGTCCCCCTTCCCCCAGCCTAATTTCCAGATCCAGGGGGAGCCTTTTTCCTTGCCTGTAATGCAAACCCCAGTTTTTCCTAGCTGGTTTTGGGGAGAAGGTGTGGGTTATATGCAAGAAAATACATTACATGCCATTTATATAAAGATTAAAATTGTTTGGCCGGAACTTACAGAAGCAATATAACAAAGTACAGTTTACATAATTTAGAAACAATGTCTTACTCTTATTCTGTACTTTCATATTGCTGTCTGCTACAAACATTATTCTACACAGCAAGGAGCTACTAGACTTATTAGCACCAAATGCAGGTAAATTTGACACCAGTCTTTTCAGACAGATGGAAAAAACTTCTTAATAGAAGTCTATTTCAGATACACACATGGTCTCAAGATTGGGACTGCATCATGAAGAGTTTGTAATCTAAACTAAGAGGAGATGAACAAGTAAATGAACTAGTATTAAAGTACAGTAAAAAGGAAAAGGTGAGGAAAATGAGGAAGTTGGGACTGTGGAAAGCACCTTCTAGATCATCAGGTCCACCCCCCTACTATTGAATGAACCACCACCTGTAATCCCTATCATAGTTTACAGAGGCTTAAGGCTTTTTGCCCCTCCACTTGAAATGGAAGGCTGTTCCAGAAAATGTTTGCTGTTATGTTTCACAGATTTACTAACTTCTGGCCATAATTTATTCATGGCCAGTTTCTGCCCATTTATTCTTGTGCTGGTGGAGCTGTGTAGCTTAGTAGCTTCATTCGGGTGTTAACCTCATTTGGTTTGATAGATAAGAATCAAATACCCTCAGCCCTTGTTTTGGTAGGCTGAACAAGCCAAATTCTTCTATTGTCTTCAGATGGCATCTGATGAAGTAGGCTGTTGCCCATAAAAATGCATACTTCTCTCTATGAGTTAGTCTCTAAAATGTTATCTGGCTCTGCCTTCTGCATGACTTCAGATTAATACAGTTAACTATTTCTCTCAACAGTTGTATATAGTGGTCCAATAAAAAATATTATCAAACCTTTTTATTTTTATTTACATCACGGAGTTTAAACTAAAGTAATTGTTTTACCTGTTGTTTGGCTTTGGCTAGCTCCTTTTTTCCAGATGTGAAGAAGGGGATTTTGTACCTGAAAGCTTGTTAGACATCTCTCCCAACTAGATAGTTGGTCCAGTAAAAGATATTACTAAACAAACCTTGCTTCTCTTTCATATCAAAACAACTTTTTTCTTGAAGGTTACATTTTAAAGCGAGGAGGAACTGAAATTAACATTTCCAATGACTAATTACATGTGTGTTTTTTGGTTTTCCCCCAACAGCTTAGCTCTTGTCATGCAGTACTTTCAACTCAATTAGCTGATGCCATGATGTTTCCCATTACTCAGTTTAAAGAAAGGGATCTAAAAGGTAAGGTAATCAAATAATCAAATAGTGGCTGTTATTCAGAAAGATGCAGTAGTTCATCTCAGTGTTCTTGCAGTACAATAGTAGGGTACTTAAAATACAACAAGTTAGGGAGATCCAGAGAGCTATATTCATAATATAAGCAGTTAATATTTTATCACTATAGAATGCTTTTTCCATGGTTTAGAAATTAATCCAATGTAATTTCAGCAAAAACATGAATTGCTTTCTATAAACAAATTGACCTGTTTAAGTTGCAGGCTTTGCACTCTTCATCTTAAGTGACACATGCAGATCTTGATTTCTAGTTAAGCTTCAGAATAATTAGCAGGTCATTTGCTGGATATTTGTTGTCCCGTGGATGTTTGTCTACGTTGCGAAACCACTATATAATTTGTAATTACTGGCAGTTTCTCTTCACGTGGAGCCCAAGGATAAAATAAGTCACAGTCAGTAAGACAGCTTGCTTCATACTACCAGTAAAGTAAAGGGCCCTAGGCAAATGTCTAGGCTGGGGAGGATTTGATTTTTATTGATAAATAAACATCAATAAATGGTGATCTCACCACATAATCACAGACCAATGAAAATATATTTTCATCAGTAATAATTTAAATTTATAGAAAGGGGACTGTAACAGGGAACCCTTACCCCTGTTACTGGATAGTGGATGAAAGAGAGGCAGAGGTGTCAAATAGGAAAACAATGGGTGGCCTAATGACTCATCAATTAAGCAATTAGTTGCTTCTTCACAGGTGGGGGAAGTGGGCTGGATAACAGGCTACTTAAGCAAACCCCTACCCAAAGGGGAAAGAGTATTCTAGGCTTCAGCCTGGTGGCAGAAGGGCCTTGGCAGGGCCAGATTGGCTAAGCCGGTGGTGGGGCACCAGCGCTGAGGGTGGCCATTGCAGGGAGCTGTGGGAGTTCTGGTGCCCTCCACTTCTGATCCCTGCCCACCCATCTCCTTTCTGATGAATGTATATGTATAGAATAATTTAGAGCAGGTATGATTTATTGATTTATGGATATTTATTTTTTTATATTTTGATGTGATTTTTATAAAGCTTTTAACAGTAGACTGTCATCATTAAATTGTCTGCCACCCACAGGCCTTATTTCTCACAGTCCTGAAAATTTAAGTTAATCAATATCGAAAAACACCCCTAACTTTGTGCAATCCTGAAAATTGTAATAGATAAAAATCAAAAGGAATGCTTAAAAATAAGCATTTATGTTAGCTGTCAACATTATTAAAAGCTAAAAATTGAATTCTGCCAAGCCTACAAATGCCTAAAGTTCCTGGTTTTTATGAGTAGTATATTAATACCTTGGCTAGACAACATAGAATCATAGAAAAGTAGGACTGGAAGGGCCCTGTAAGATCATCAAGCCATGGGCAGGAGGTAGTTGGTCTCAAACGAGTGTAACAAGGTGCCTGTCCAGCCTTCTCTAGAATACCTCTAGGGATGCTGACTGCACCACCTCTGCTGGGATGTGTTCCAGATTCTAGATATCCTTACGGAAAAGAAGTTTTTTCCTTATGTCCAGCCTAAATTTTCCCTAAACTAACTTGTGCCCATTGGACTTCATCCTCCCAAGAGGTGCCTTTCTGAAGAGTTGCTCCCCTAGATCTTGGTGTTCGCCCTGACATACTTGTAGGCAGCTATCAAGTCACCTCTCAGTCTTCTGTTACTCATACTGAACAAACCCAATTCCCAGAGTCTCTCCTCATAAGGCCTATCCCCCAGCTCCTGGTCATGCAGGTGGCCTTTCTCTGTACTGTTTTGAACTTATCCACATCCTACATGAAACGTGGTTCCCAGAACTGGACACAGCACTCCAGCTGTTGCCTCACCAATGGCAAATAGGGGGGGGAGGAGCACTTTTCTGGATTTATTGGCAGCACATTGGCTGATGCATGCCAGAGTTCTGTTTGCTCTGCTGGCAACTTCATTGGACAGATGGCTCATGTCCATTCTCTGGTTGATTGTCACTTCCAGGTCCCTTTCAGATGCAGTGTCAGCCAGTGGATCACCACTCATTGTATAGTTATGATGAGGGTTTTTCCTACCCAAATAAGGGACCTGGCACTTGTCCCTATTGAACCTCATCTGATTGCATTCAGCCCATAGGACCAGCCTGTCACAGTCATTCTGGATCCTTACCCTGTCCTCAGATGTGTCCACATTTCCCCACAGCTTGGTGTCGTCCTCAAATTTAATCATTGTGCTTTCCACTATCTCTTCCAAGTCATTGATAAAGATGGTAAAGAGCACAGGTCCAAACACCCATCCCTGAGGGACACCACTCGAGACGGCCCTCCAGGATGAGGCTATCCCATCAGTTACAACTCGTTGGGATCGGCCTCTGAGCCAGTTGCCAACCCACCTCACTGTAGACCAGTCTAGTCCTCCAGCTTAATTGAGGAGAATCCCATGGGGGACAGTATCAAAGGCCTTGCTGAAGTCTAGGTAGATAATGTCAAGCACATGTCCCATATCCAGTTGGTTAGTTATCTGGTCATAGACGGACACCAGGTTTCTTAGGCATGACCTCCCCTTAAAGCCATACTGGTTGTTTCTTAATATCCTGCCAGTTATGAGGTTGCAGTTGATGGCCTCCTTGACAAGTGTTTTTTAAGATTTTTCCCAGAACCAAAGTAAGACTGACCAGTCTGTAGTTGGCAGGGTTGTCCCTCTTCCCTTTCTTCAAGATGGGTACAATGTTAGCCCTCTTCCTTTCATATGAAATGCTTATTTTGGAATATTTTGCTTGGGCTGTTAAGACCATTTTCAACAAAACACTGTTACACTTAAAGACAAAACGGAGTAAATAAAAATATTTCAATATGTAATTAAAATGTTACATAACCATCCTATGCTAAATTTCCTATGGATATTTGAAAAGATGTTCTTGTTTCTGAAAGCAAGTTGTTAGTGACAGAAGTGATTGTGGGACTAAATAGGCCAAAATTATTTTTTGGAACAGGGAAGCAACCATATTCCTCTACTTATATCTAAAAATTGTGCCACTGTCACAATTCTTAAAGATTTGAATATTTAGGGGTGTTTGAAAATGGTTCTTGATGATTTACTGACAGATGAAAACTTTCCCACTGGAAAGGTTATAGTCTTTAGCTGATGCTGTACCCAGTAACTCATTAGATTATGTTCTTTTCATCAAATCATAGAAAATTGAGGTTGGAAGGGACCTCAGGACATCATCTAGTCCAACCCCCTGCTCAAAGCAGGACCATCCCTAACTAGATCATTCCAGCCAGGGCTTTGTCAAGCCAGGCCTTAAAAACCTCCATGGATGAAGATTCTGCCACCTCTCTAGGTAACCTGTTCCAGTGTTTCACCACCCTCCTAGTGACACAGTTTTTCCTAATATCCAACCTAAACTTCCCTTGCTGCAACTTGAGACCATTGTTCCTTGTTCTGTCACTACTGAGAACAGTCTAGCCCCATACCTTTTGTAACCACCCTTCAGGTAGTTAAAGGCTGCTATCAAATCCCCCCCTCAGTTGTCTCTTCTGCAGACTAAGATAAGCCTAAATAACTAAATACCTTTTTGTACTTTAAAACAGTTACTGTAAATGTTCACAATGTTCCCACTCCTGGTTCACAATTACTTTATAATGTTTAAAAGTGAACATGGATATTATTTATTTATGTTGTGATACTACACAAAAAACCCACTCCAGATTGAGACACTTTGTGCTAAGCACTGCACGTATACTTAGGAGATCACATTTCCTTTTAGATCTTTTAATTAAAATTGGCAAGATAGGTCAAAAACAAGCAGATATCAAAGATATTTGTTTTATGAGTTACCATCTTAAAAAGAAAACCTTTTCCAAGCCATTCTCTTTTTATAATTTTTCTCACTAGTTGTTACTTCATTGTAACCTTTGCCCCAGAATCTTTTTCTTGGCTGACCTCTGAACAGAATTGTAGATGATGTCTTTGGGTTACTGACTTCTCAGATCCTTTGAGAAGAACCCTTTTCCCTTGACGTAGTACACTAAGAAGCGTCTTTCTGTGTCTGATGGCAGTATTTTATATGACTCAGTCCCTCAACAGAATCAGTGTCAGTTGGTCAAGAAACACCTCTGCTACCGCTGTACACAGGAAAAGGGGACAGCCTCCAAAAGCTGTGTATCTGGTAAAAAGCTTAACGTTTTTATGGACCAGTAGAGGCTGCCTTTCTTCTGGAGGGGCTGTTTCAGAGAATTTCCTCTTCAGCAGAAACTGAAGAACTTCTTTAAAAGAAGATAAAACTAGAGTGTTGTAGATGCATGTAATAATGTTGTTATAATGTGTTTTATATTCACCTTTTTACATAAATATGATATGTTCTTTGTAGAGATACTGACTTTAAAAGAAGTTTTCCAAATTGCAAGCAATGGTAAGTGTACTTTTAAATGTTTAATGTGAGTATGTAGCATTTTCATATCCGGATATAAAATTAAATTTATAAGATACATTTAAAAAGGGACATTTTCAGTGGGACCCAGGTACCCCCCCTTTCCTGGCTTCTTTGAAAATTCCAGCCTTGATCCTCAAAAATTTGAGGCAAACAAACAAATCTTATGTAGAGAACTTAGTGATAACATACTTAAGCATTAATGCAGTTACTGATAACTGTGTGGGGAAAAAAATCTGGAATGAGGTAAAAAAAAAAATAGTGGTAAAAAGGTGATGGTAATTAGTGTTCAGTTGCCTATGAAAAATATATGCTTTATAAAGACAGTTTGATTTAAACAATGGAAGTTTAGCTCCCTAC